CAATTGAATATTAATTTGCAGTTGAGTGTAAAGTTTTACGTTACAGCACGATCTAGTTGACAGCTGCACTCAAGGTAAATTGTACATGCCTCCTAACCACAAGTTTTACCACTGGAACTTTCTTCTTATCCCTGATTGGTTGCTCGTGCAACAGACTATTTCCGTGTCAATGTTGAAAATATGAGTCGACCAATCACGTGAATTGTTTACACTGGATGCACCTGACGAAAAAGATTGTGACGTTACGTGAAACTTTACACTCAACTGCAAACAATAGTAATAAAATTACAAGTTTACCAGCTTATTTTGAAATGTAGAAAATATGTATTTTAAGAAGTTTTTTTTTTCTTTATAGCAGATCCAAATATTCCAGCAGGGGAAACATTCAACTGCATGGCAAGTATTCCACTTCATTCCACTTCCTTAATCTGCATTACATATATTATAAAAATTTAATTGTCTGCATTCAAGTGCTTTGTAGATACTCCATCATTTTTCCTTAAAGTCATTATCCTCTAAGACATTAATGCATTGTCCAACTTTTAAAATCACTTTTAAAAAAATTTAAGTCACTCTGAAAGACTTTTATTTTATCCAAAAGGGAGATAGAATAATGTGATTATGTGTATCATTATTTGTAATCACATGTACCTTTATCTGTAATTTATACATATACCGGGGGTACCTTTATTGTATGTAACATATAACAACAGATCTTTATTGTTTAATCTTTCAGCAAATGATAATTAAAATGTGTCCTTAAATTTTATATTAAAAGTATGAGAGGAGCCTTTGGAGATATGCAAAATTTATATAATTATTGTAGGATTTGAAACATGTATTCAAATACAGTTTATAAAAGATAAGTTTGAAAACAAGAAATAAATTTTTCAATGGATTGATCCTGGGAGGTGAATTGGTTTCTCAGTACACAAGTAATTTTGACTAAAGTTTTGTAAAATTAGCTTTTTTATGTACATATGCATTTACATTTTTTTTTTGATAGAATGTCCCTCTTTAATAGAATGTTAAAAGGGGGAAGGCTAGGCTGTAAAAAAAAGTCATACGTGCATCATTATCCTCCCTGATTTCCTCCTTGACCACTATATATAAAGCACCTATAAAGTTTGTAAAGTTCTTTTGGAAGTGTGACTTAAAAAAGGTTGTTTTTATCAATATTTTGTATTGAATGGAATGTGAACTGCTTGGATACCCTGTAATTATTAATATTTTTAAAACAAATCAATATGAGGAAGTACAAGTGAAACTATTTGGTCATTTGAGTGAGTTAAAGATTTTATCACAAGATGGAAATTATCTCCAAGTAAGAAAATCTGTTTAACTGTCACTGAGTTATGATGATGTATTTTATTTTGTAACAGACACCTCTTCACTGTGCCATTATAGACCTGAAGCTTGAATTCTTTAAGTTGTTGTTGTCACATGGAGCAGATTTTACAAAACAAGATAATTCAGGACTGACCCCCAAGGCAGTGGCAGAGAACATGGAGTTAGATGAATATGTAGAAGAAATGGAGGAGGAGCAAGGTAGTTCATGTATTATAATTCACTGGTTTTAGAGAACAATTGGGAAAAAATCATTAGGTTTTGGTAAAACAGTATTTCTGCAGTGTTGCAGTTGTGGTATTCTGAATATATTTGGAAATTTTTATGTCTTTAAGATTAAACTATGTGTGTGGTGTATTACTTTTTGATATTCAAATGTATGTTAAGAGTTGCACTACTACATCTTAAAAGTCCCCCAAATTTTGTTTTGAATCAATTCTGTCTACTCAAACTTGCACACCTGGCTTTAGTAAGTATATATAAAATATATGGATAAAAAAGTACAGTGTGACCTGTACCAACTTTGATTATTTTTCTGTTCTAACTTTGCTATACCCTTAAGTCTGGTGTTTGTTTTAAACAATGCTGCTGTAATTTGAAGATGTAAACACGATAAGATGGTGAAATACATGCTGAAAAGTGATTCTATAAATTTTTTTCATTTTAGAAAGAAGAGAGAACAGATATTTGATTCAGTTTTAAAAGGTATATATTTGATTACATATAAGTGCATTACATAAAGACTATTGTCAATAAGAACTAGTGTACTTGTTGTATGTACTTTGCATGTTTGTACATTGAAAAATTAGCAGGTTTTTATTTCTTGTTATAATGGTGATAAATAAAGTGTTATTTTAAACTTACTTCCTGGTATTGTGATTTTGTAATAGACTTTTTGTGTTTGTTTTATTTCTGTATATTTATAATACTAGTATGTAATATTGTTATGTCATCAGAAAAAATTTCACAAATCCAAGTGTGAATAAAAATTATACAATGTAATAATATTCTTGAAATAATTTGTCACCATATAAGTTTTTTTTTTCTTAATTGAGTCAATCCAATTCATTATTTCTTGTTTTATTATTTTTCCACAGCGTTTGCTGATGCTTGTAAAGCTGAGGATGTTTCTAGGATGACTGATATTTTAAAATGTAACTCCTCTCCAACAATCCATGTAAAACTAGTCAGCAACGCCGTGACAGATGATGGATTAACTCCCCTTTGTTGGTAATGTCACTCATTTTAACACCTGTTTATTGGACTTCAGATGTACCTACTCTTCATTTCCTTTGCACTTTATTATGCTTGATAAGGAATATTGGTATTAAACTGGAAAAGTATGAGGAGGAGTAAAATCACCATTATAATTATGCCCAGTACACAGTAAACATATAAACACAAACATATACGGTACATTACACTGAAATTGTTCAGAGAAGTTCCACTTTGCTTCAAATCTTTTTTTTAATTTGTATATATTTATATATTTTGCATGTTTACGGTGATGGTATATACCGCTTACAGGGCTTGTAAATGTGGCAACATCTCTATGCTGCGACTCCTACTTCAGCACGAAGCATCCATCATCTCGTGTACATCTCAGGATATGGCTCCTATCCATCTGGCCTGTCATTTTGAACACACTGATTGTGTTCAACTTCTTCTGCAGGTACTTTGGAAACAGAATTTTAATTTAACCATCATTCTGACTTTCTGTAGAAAAGCAACATTTTTGTCTATGAAATAGTTTGGTGCTTTAAACATTGCATTTATTGACAGCCATGCTAGTCAGCTACATCACAGTAAATATTCAGTCAGATTGTGTGTGTAAGAATCAAATCATAAAGAAAGAAATGAAACCAAATCTTAATTTATGACAGCATATAAGTATAAGGAATACTTAAAATAAGGAATTCAGGAAATTCTTATCTGTATTGACTTTTTTGACACAAAAAAGTCTCAACTTTCTCTCCTTGTGAACAAGATTAAAAGTTTAATCAGCATAAATAAAGAGGACCCCCCTAAGCACTCATTTGTTCCTTGTGTCAGTCAAGGTTTACAAAACAGTGTGGGGGATAATGCTCGCAATTTCATTTGAAGTTGAAACTTTTTGTTAGATTAGATTTAATCACTTTCTAGAGTTTATTTTCTTATAATATACCCTGTATGCAGGATTTTGGGTTCTCTGTAATTGGGGCCATTCAAAAGTCCCATTTTCAATATAAAAACTTGAGGTACCCCCCCCCCCCCCCCAATATATTATGTTTAATTTTTTTTCCAGTTTGTTATTTTCACAAAAATTAAAGAACATTAATTGCTAAACTTGTTAATTCATGTTGAACCTCCTTTATATTGTCAAGAAATAAAATATGTCATTAGTACCCAAAGAGAGGACTTGTCTCAATAAATATATCTGTGAAATATGAAAGCCCAAGCAACAACTGCAACCATTCATTAGTTATGGCTAAAATTAATGGTACCCTGGGGAAGGCAATGTCATAAGAATTATACTCGTATGTAAAAAAAAAAAAAAAAAAGAAAACTTTATCACTAATCACTAACTGTTTAAAATTTATGGTCATGGTTAAATTATTTTTCAGAATTAGGTTAAACTCCAAGATGAAGGCCAAAAGTCAAACTTGTTTGTATCCAAAAGAAGGTCTTGTCACAAGGAATACACCCGAACAATATAAAATCCTTGGTAAAAACTGTTGAAAAGCTATGACTGAAGCTAAAGTTTGTTTTTTAGTTGGCATCACACAATTAAAAGTTAAAATACTTGTGAAGTATAAAAGTGAGCTTTTCTGATCACATTGTGTCCGTCGTCCGTCAATTTCCGTCCGTCCGTCTGTCCAAAGGAACTTTTCACAGGAAAACACATTGAAATATAAGAACCACTCACCCAATCAAATGTTATGGACAATGTAAAAGATTTTTGTACAAAGCATCAAATTGGACTGTACAGGAAAATTTGTATCCCCAAATTGACTAACCTGAAAGCATAGAAATTCCATTAACAAGGGGAGATAATCCGCGTGGTATTAATTTACGCTATGTACGCGGTCACAAATAATATGCGGAAATTTGTTCAAGCGTACTTAATAAAAATGTAAGGCATATAGTTCTCAAGAAAACTGCTTAATTTTCTACCCGGGAAAACAGAAATTGAGATTCCGTGGAATAATGACCTAGGGCAGTGTAGACTACAGTAAATTGTTACATTTATTTTAACCCTTTTTCTCCAAAAGTGTTTTGCTGGTACTCCCGACCAGTAAATGTAAATAAGTAAAATGGCATGCATTAATAATTCAAGAATTTTACAATCAGAAATATATAAAACAATCATTGCTGTGATTTCTTTGATCAACATGATTATTGAGCCATCTTTAAAGTACAATATTCACCTCGCCCTTCAGGTTCATTGAAAATTGTACTCCTTGGATGTCTAAATCATTGTATTAACCTCAAAATCAGCAATAATTGTGTAATAAACATATTAGTTCTGTTGTCAACAAGTACACACTTAACCACTGAATGATGCAAGCATTAATCAGTAAAACTGCCATTGGCTTACTCAGATAATTATATGGAAATTTTACAAAGTAAATAATTAACAAAAATGTCTTGTTTTGATTTAATTGTAAACATTGAAATGTCTCTCATTATTTAGGACTACAGTTTCACAAAACAACTGCTTTTGTAATTTTTTTTTCTTAAGCATCTAATTATTATTAATATGACTTTGTTTGCCAATGAAGGATTGTACAAGTTATTTTTAAAGTCCTGAATTAACTTTGGAGTTTCCAGTAATTTTTTGGGTGAATTAACTTTCTTATTTTCAGCTTCTGATAGTTAGCTGCACTGTTAACAAGATTCTGAACTAAAATATAAATATGAATATATTTTAAATGAAAATCAGCTTTTTTATCTGTATAAAGTCCACTGAAAAATATAATAAAACAAACAATTCATGCAAAAGAGGCAACCAGTATTATACGGTGTATTTTGTTTCAAAAAGACCCCCCCCCCCCAAAAAAAACCACTCATAACAGTACATATTTCCATGTTGGATTAATTGTTTCCATGTAAATTGGGAATATAATTATGGTTTGGTAGAAATATTTGTGGATTATAAACTTAAAACAAATATACAGTCTAACCTTGATCCATTTGAAGCCAGAAAAAAAAAACTTCAAGATAATGTGGATTGAGATATCCAGGAAAATAAAAGGAATAAGTAGTTGTTGGGACTTCAAAATGACTTAGACATATCCATGGTATTCAAGATATCTGTGTTCGAGATATCAAAGTTCAACAGTTACTGTATTTGTATAGAAATTATGAAGAATTTACGTATATCACTTATAATTCAGTTTACTGTAGAAGTACTTTTTTCCACAGGGTCATAATTCCATGGAATCTAAATTTCTGTTTAATCTGCGGGTAGAAAATTATGCAAATTTTCTAGACTGTCACTATATGCCTTACATTTATATTAAGTATGCTTGGACAAATTTCCGCAGAAAAATTGTGACAGCGTACATAGCTTAAATTAATACCACATGGAAAAAAGTACTTCTACAGTATACTGAAAGCTAGGATGGTAAGAAACAAAATGAAAAATCTGTTAAACAGGGTAGGCGATTGGAAATTGGTTACTAAAAATCTTCTGATTTTTAGAATCACACTAGCATTCCGTGTACATGTATTTTAATGAATTTCTACAGATCTGTATTGTAGATCTTTTGTATGAATCATTAGGTCTTTCCACCTTTCTGTGGAAAGACCTATTGAAATTGTTCTGTTTATTATTATTAGGTCTTTCCAGCTTTCTCTGGAAAGAGCGATGTATTCTTCTGTTTCTTTTTTTCCTTTTCCTTTTTTTATTATTTTTCCGCCGTGTGATTTTTTGTTTCAAGATTTATAAAAGTTTGAGTCGATATGAATGTACCTGGTAAAAGATTTTCGCAGTTGACCCTGCGTTATGAGTTATGACAACATTACAGTTGCAATAAAAGCTTTTATCGCAAAACCGTAAACCGCAGAGATTCCAAACCTTTATTAATGTCTACGACTTTCAAGAGGTCAAATAAACAGTGTCCAAAGGAGGTCTAAACTCCTATAATGAATTAACACTGAATGTTTGCGAAATTACGAATATCAAGAACTTTTCTAAAACGACAAGGCGTAGAGACATGGGGCCAACTGCAAAAGATTTCTTGACCGTTGACCTTAAAATCTAGGTCAAGGTCAAAGGTCAAGGTCATTCAAAATATGTAAAATTAAGCATTTTTTATAGCTCTTTTGTTCTTAACCAAATTCTAAACTTCTTTGCATTTTTAGTATGTACTCTTAAAACCATTTCAGAGATTCCATGCTTGTCCCTTAAGATTGAACCCTCTAAAAGTTAGTGCCCCTTTCATTGTAAACCCTTGTTATCGCTACTCCTCCGAAACGGTAAACCGTAGAGGTATAAAACCTTCAACAATGTCTGCGACTAATTAAGTACACTTCTCATTCTATTGATGCGAAAGAATTCGTAAACATTTAAAGTAGTTATTGCCCCTGGCAGTTTATGATGTTTACAAAGAACTAAAAACTTCTTAACGACAAGTGGTAAAGACATGGGCCCAACTGCATGAGATCTTTGACCTTTGACCTTGAATATAAGGTCAAGGTCAAAGGTCAAGGTCATTGGGAAAGTATCAAAATTGCTTATTTACGGGCTTTTGGTTAAAATGACCTTGACCTTTGACCTTGATATTTGAACTTGACCTTTGACCTTGACCTTTTCTCAAAAGTTTAAAAAGATATATTCATTTTCTTTACCTAGATTCAGCTTCAAGTGTAAAACTCAAGTTTATAAAAGTGTTTTTTTTTTTTTGCATGACCTTGACCTTTGCCCTTGATAAATGACCTTGACCTTTGACCCAAAGGTCACATTCAAGCTTAAGTATGTGGAGGTATTTATAATTCTCACGTCAACAAACAGTTATATAATAACCCACCCCCCCCCCCCTCCACCCCTGATTTCTCTAAAAAAAAAAATCAATAGCGGCATAGAAAATTTTTCTACAACTCAAAGGACATAAAAGATCAAGATAAAATTCAGTTTAGCATGTAAAAGACACCTCAAAGAAAGTGCCCTGAGAGTTTTACGGTGAGTCTCTTAAGTACAATTAAATTCTAGTGAATATCGGCGAAATCTACTTTTTTTTCTGTCTGAAATTTAATTCCTGCTGAGTATAAAAATTAATTTAAGCTTGTATTGGCCATTTCTTCGATTGTTGTTAATATCACTCGATTCTCCTGCTCCAATACGATATTTTGATACTAAATATTCTTGCTTTCTTTAGTATGTGGAATTTATTTCAATTTTATTTAGATTTAATATTAATGAAATGAATCTCGAAAATAGCGATTTTTCCTGTCAAATAAAATTCCACGCTCTCAATGACATGTTTTTTTTTGTTTTTTTTTTTCCTGAGATGCATGTTTCAAGTTTAATTTATGCTGGTAACTATGAATTCAATTCAAATAGAAATGATTATTAAATCATACCTATGAGTTTACCATATCTGTCAAAATGAATGCGGCCTTTTTCGAATACATAAATTGCTACGCAACCTCAAATGCATGTATCCCCGTTAATAGCAATATCATAATTGTAATCAGACAATATCCCTTACATATTAACTCGAAAACAATTTCATTCCAACTCACATATACACCCAGGAGCTTGTCAGAAGTTTATTAATTGGATCTCTTTGACTGGTCAATGAATCAAAGAAATTCCGGTAACTTTAACTCGACAATAATACACGACAATGTCAACGGAACCCGTGGCGTAGTGGTTAGAGCGCTCGCCTGCTAATCAGAGGGTCCAGGGATCGAATCCAGCTGCAGCACCTTATCATTTTTTTTTTTTTTTTTTGCGTTTTTCTTCTTTTTTTCAACCCAAATGACACGGAAACACTTAAAAAGCTGGAAAGACCTCTTATTGTTCTGTGAACAATAAGTCTCCTAGTGCTTATTAGGTCTTTCCAGCTTTCTCTGGAAAGACCTATTGATATTCTTCTGTTTCTTTTTTTCCTTTTCCTTTTTTAGGTCTTTCCACCTTTCTGTGGAAAGACCTATTGATATTCTTCTGTTTATTAGGTCTTTCCACCTTTCTGTGGAAAGACCTATTGAAATTGTTCTGTTTATTAGGTCTTTCCACCTTTCTGTGGAAAGACCTATTGATATTTAGGTCTTTCCACCTTTCTGTGGAAAGACCTATTGATTTCCTTCTGTTTCTTTTTTTCCTTTTTCTTATTATTAGGTCTTTCCACCTTTCTGTGGAAAGACCTATTGAAATGCTTATGTTTTTTATTATTCTATTTCTCACCTTATGTTTTGACACCGTAAGACTTATCGAAAAACTTTATAGTTCATGATACTGGATATTTAAAGTTATTCCGAAAAATGACCCCCCATATTCTAACTTAGACCCCTTACGCAGTTATTCGCCCTTTCACCGTTAAGCTTGTTATCGCTTCTCCTCAGAAACCGTAAACCGTAGAGATATAAAACCTTCACCATTGTCTTCAACTAATTTAGGAGACTTTTCAATCTTTTCATTGTGAGAGTTTTCTTTGACCCCTTCAATGAGTAACTGCCCCTGAAAGTTTATAAAGTTTACAAAAAATTAAAAATTTTCAAAACGAAAAGTCGTAGAGACATGAAACCAACTGCATAACATTCAATGACCTTTTGCCTTCAAATTCATTTCAAGGTCAAAGGTCAAGGTCATTCCAAATATGAGAAATAAATTTCTCTTAATAGCTCTTATGTCCTTAAACATATACGATCTATCTTATGTCTTTGATATGTACTTTTGAAACTCTTTAGAAGATATAAATCTTGGCCCCTAAGATTGACCCTTTGAAAAGTTGTTGCCCCTTGTGCTAAAAACCCTTGTTATCGCTACTCCTCTGAAACCGTAAACCGTAAAGGTATGAAACCTTCACCAATGGCTTTGCCAAATTATGGGGACTCTTCAATCTATTCATTGCGAAAGCATTCGGTGACCCCTTCAATGAGTTATTGCCCCTGAAACTTTTTGAATATTACAAATAATCAAAAATATTCAAAATGACAAGTCGTAGAGACATGGGACCAACTGCATTAGATTCAGTGACCTTTGACCTTCAAATTTATGCAAAGGTCAAAGGTCAAGGTCACTCAAAAATTGAGAAATCAAGCTCTTTTTATATCTCTTTTGTCTTTTAACATATACAATCAGTCTTTGCATTTTTAATATGTTCTCTTAAATCTATTTCAAAGATTTCATTCTTGTCCCCGAAGATTGACCCTATTGAAAGTTATTGCCCCTTATGCGAAAAACCTTGTTATCGCTACTACTTCAAACCCGTAGACCGTAGAGACACCAAACCTTCTCTAATGTGTTAAGGGTCTTTAGGCCTAACTTCATTGTAAAAATGCAAAAGGATCTGATGACCCCTTATATGAGTTATTGCCCTTTAACTTTTTTGTGCTTAATATAAAACCTTATAACTTGAAAACTATAAGTGGTAAAAGCATGGGGTCAATTGCATTGTGCCCTTGACCTTTGACCTTGAAAAATTTTCAAGGTCAAAGGTCAAGGTCATTTCAATTTTTTTAAATTTTATTTTTTTCTATCGGTTAAGACAGTTTTGGTTCTTTTATTCATGGAATTTAATTTTAAGGAGTCAAATAAACAAAATTGAAAACATCAAAGAAGGTGGAAAGACCTCTTATTGTTCTGTGAACAATAAGTCTCCTAGTTCTTCTCATTTATTATTTTTCCGCCGCATGTTTTTTTGTTTGAAGATTTATCGAAAAGATTTATAGTCCATAAGAATGTACTCCATAAAAGATTATTGCAGTTCACCCTGCGTAAATAAACCTTGAACCCTTTCGAAGTTATTTCCCCTTTCGCAAGAAATGCTTGTTATCGCTACTCCTCTGAAACCGTAAACCGTAGAGGTATGAAACCTTCACTAGTGTCTTCGACTAATTAAGGGGACTCTTCAATCTATTCATTGCGAAAGCATTCGGTGACCCCTTCAATGAGTTATTGCCCCTGAAACTTTTTGAATTTTACAAATAAATAAAAATTTTCAAAACAAGAAGTCGTAGAGACATGGGATTAACTGCATAAGATTCATTGACCTTTGACCTTAAAATTCATGCAAAGGTCAAAGGTCAAGGCCATTCCAAAAATGAGAAAAATTAGTTCTTTTTGTATCTCTTTTGTCTTTCAACATATATTTAATGTCTATGCATCATTAATATGTACTCTTAAAACTGTTTCCAAGATTTTATTCTTGTCCCCTTAGATTAAACCTTTTAAAAGTTATTGCCCCTTGTGAGAAAAACCTTGTTATCGCTACTCCTCCGAAACTGTAGACCCTAGAGACACCAAACCTTCACTAATGTCTTAAGGGTCTTTAGGCCTAACTTCACTGTATAAGTTCAAAAGAATCAGATGACCCCTTATATGAGTTATTGCCCTTTAACTTTTTTATACTTACTATTAAACCTTATATCTTGAAAACTATAAATGGTAGAAGCATAGGGTTAATTGCAATATGACCCTTGACCTTTGACTTTGAAATTTTTTTCAAGGTCAAAGGACAAGGTCATTTCAAAATTTTTTTTTTTTTTTACGTTTTCATTTTTTTTCAAGCCATTTCCCTTATAATTAAATTTAGAGAGTAAAATATAAAACTATAAGAAATTTAAAAAGATGGAAAGACCTCTTATTGTTCTGTGAACAATAAGTCTCCTAGTTTTATTTCTCTTTTTTTTTTATCTTCAGCATTGCCCAGACATTGTGCAGAGGAAAATGGCTAATGACAGCTTGGCCCTCCACGTAGCAGTAGAGACAGAGAGTCTGTCACTGGTCACACTGTTACTAAATTACGATTACCCAGAGTATGCTCTGGAGGACTTCAAGGAGGAAGGATTGGGAATCGGTTACAAGCTCCCATTTGATGTCAACACAAAAGATTCAATGGGAAGGAGTCCCTTGTTTTTGGCTGCGGAGAAAAACAATCCTGATATTGTGAGGTTTTTACTAAATTTCCATGTCCCGTTTGAAAAGAAACAAAGGAGATATGAAGGTCGAAGCCGACTCACTAGTGATGTAAGCTTTGAGCCTGAGTTAAGAAGAGAACAGTTTGGGAGTAGTTTAAACAGCAGTTCTTTTTCGTCCAATGTCTATCACCCCGTGGATATCAATCTGCAGGGTCGTAATGGATTTACTCCTCTACACGTGGCAGTGAGTAACAGTTACTACGAAGTTACCGACATCCTGCTGAAACACAAGGCTGATGTCAACATACTGGCTAACGATAGCGGAAAACTCATATCTACCCTAATGATGGCCTGTAGGAGGGGAGACAGCATTATACTGGACAAACTGTTCAAGTATGGTGCCGATGACTTAGATAAACAAGTCTTCACTTATGCTGTGGAGAAGAGACCTAAAATGGTGTTCACATTACTTAAGTACAGAACTTGTAAAGATGTGGAAAATGAGTACAAAATCAATCGTATGGATATGAGGAGTTTATACAGGAAAATGTCTGAAATGGAAGATACTTATGATGGACTGAACTCTCTGAACCTGGATTTTAAGAAAAAGTTTCCTGTCCATTCTGTCCATGTTAAATGGCAGGATCTGCAGCACATTGAGATGGTTAAAGAAGAGATGTTGATTGATATCAGCTGTCACCACAACCCAGAGATACAGACTACATCTCTTAATTACCCCTTTGCTCTATTTGCAATCACGAAGATTGACATCTCTGGAAATAAAATTGGTTCCGTTTTTCCTTCAGTATTCTTTAAGTTGCCATCTCTACATTACCTGAATTTGTCCAAAAACCAGATCAAAACTTTTCCTGATGTGACAAATATGGATGACATCTTTGTTTGTCTAGAAGAATTATTGCTGGATAAAAACAAAATTGAGGTATTGCCAGACTACTTATTTTCAGTGTCAACATTAAGGTATCTCTCAGTAGCTCACAATAATTTGAGAGAATTTTCTTCAGAATTGTGGGACATGCAATGTCTGGCTTATCTAAACCTATCTCACAATCAAATTGCCTCCCTACCCCAGCCCCGCCCCAAGCACTCCCGCCCCCCGTCATCAGGAAATCTGTCGTCAATCACAAGTTCTTATCAGGAGGAACAGGCTCCTCCGACCTTGGTCACGCCGACCAAGTCAAGCGTGGAGGAGATTCAGGTCAAACATGCCGTGACCTGGATGTCAGGAAAAGTTGTTGTGATGGACGGTGACTTTGACAGTAGCTCTGGCCTGTCAAACAGAGGATTACAAGACCTGAATCTGTCTAAAAATAGACTGAGTGAGATCCCCTTCTGGTTGTGTTGTACTTCTCCCTACATGGAGAACCTTAATCTGTCTGGCAATAAGATCCAGTACGTGGGGGGCTTATTCCAGCTCCCGCAGTATCTAAAGACGCTAGACCTCAGTGGAAATAATATACTGGATACAGTGCCCTGGCAATGTGCAGAGGACAAAGACGGTCTGTGTTACAATACAAGAAGGTAATGAATTATTGTGCTGTAGTGGATTGTGACAGATAAAAAAATTATAGTAGGTTTGGATTCAGATTGTCTAAACAGAATTTGTTTTTAGAATGGGTATCTACTATAATGAGCTAATATTTGAAAGATTTGATTTTTGATATCAATATTTTTTATAGTTTCAATAATTTATAAAACTTTTATGGGGGGTCTTTGAATTAGACAAGATCCCCGGGACCCCCAAAATTATGTATTTATTTTATGATATTGGTGATGGGCTTATACTTAAGCAAATGCACACAGAACCAATATATTTATAATCTTATTTGATGACTTCGTAGTGCCCGGCCGACCGGCTCCCCCCACTCCTTTAACTCCTACACCAGCTTCACACAGCTACTGACCTGTGGTCATCGCCAGCACCGGATTCTGGAGCGACTGGACACGCTTAACCTTGGCTTTAACCGGAGACTAGAGAAAATTGTCATCACAAGATCAACGGAGGACAGACAGGGAAGGAACAGTACTGCCAGTGTAAGTCATGAGTACTATCCATGTAAGTCAAAAGTACTACAAGTGTAAGTCAAAAGTACTGCCAGTGTAAGTCAAGAGTACATGTACTATCACTGTAAGTCCAAAGTACTACAACCATGTAAGTCAGTAGTACTACCAGTGTAAGTCAGAAGTACATGTACTGGCAGTGTAAGTCAGAAGTACTACCAGTGTAAGTCAAAAGTACTGCCAGTATGAGTCAAAAGTACTACCAGTATGAGTCAAAAGTACTACCAGTATGAGTCAAAAGTACTACCAGTGTAAGTCAGTAGTACTGTCAGTGTAAGTCTAAAGTACTACCAGTGCAAGTCAACAGTACTACCAGAGTAAATCACAGTACTACCAGTGTAAGTTTATAGTACTGTCAGTGCATAACAAGAGTTTGAATGTACTACCTATGTTAGACCAAAGTAATGTCAGTGTAAGTCAAAAGTACTGTTAGTGTAAGTCTAAAGTACTGTCACTCTGTCAGTGTAAATCACAAGTACTACCAGTCTAAATGTACTTGCAGGTGTTAGTCAATAATACTCTCAGTGTAAGACAACAGTACTCCCAATGTGAGTCACAGGTACTTCCAGTGGAAGTGTACTTAGTGGGTCTGTAATCATGGTAATTGTGTCATTTTGAATATGTAATATGTTTTACACTTGTAATTCACTGAAAGTTTTTCATCAAATGGTTAAACAAAAGTTTATTCATATGATTAGCATAACAATTTAAAAATGTCAAATAAATAACAAAAGTGACCAATGTGTTAATTACTGAAGAATCTTCAGCCATGATTTTGATATTTGTAAATTTAATGGAGTGGGCAAAAGATCACTCCTGTTTAGATAATTACTAGGTGTGATTTTAGTAATAAATATGTGATAACACCAAACATTAAAAATGTCAAATAAATAACAAAAGTGACCAATGTGTTAATTACTGAAGAATCTTCATCCATGATTTTGATATTTGTAAATATAATGAAGTGGACAAAAGATCACTCCTGTTTAGATAATTACTAGGTGTGATTCTAGTAATAAATATGTGATAACACCAAACTTTGTTTATAATTAATTATTATCACTATATTAACCTTATTTTGAAAATGGAAAAGAATGAAAAGGACAGGGTTGGAAGCTGCATTTTTACATTTCTTAAAAAAAATTAAAAAGTAGGGGTGTTAATTAGTACCCAATTAAGCAGATACTCGACGGAACATCTGAGTATCGAATACAAAAATAAGTACTTGGTTACTCCGATGTATCGTTTTCTTATTTCAAAGTACATATTTTTATCTAAAACTTAATCAAAAAATATCTGTTATGTAATGTATACGGTAATTAGCGTGACATCATCTACACCTGTAAAACACCTGTTATCGCCGCTGGCTGTATACATATTGTTAATGACATCATCTACACCTGTTATAACAAAAGTTACATCTGTTACATCTGTTATCGCCGCTGGCTGTGTACATATTGTAATAATAAATTACATTTTCTGTAGTTCTCACCTGTTGTTTATAAATAAGACCTGTATACCATTTGTAATTTTTTGTGTATTAATTGTGCATTTATGTTTTATTTGATATTAAATAAATTTTGTACCAAAAAATAATTTCTGTTAGAATCCATATTTATATGAATTACATTCATAAACGTATTAATATCAGCTTTGTGGTTTAACAGAGCTTTATGGGACTGACACTTTAATATACATTTTACGGAGTACCCAGTACTCGATAGAAAAGATTCCGAAAAAAAAAAAC